GGTTCCCTATGCCTATCCAGCGCTGCTGCGCTGAGGTCTCGGGCGCGGTGGGCTTGGGAACTAGGGCGTCCCTCTGCGGCTCGCTTCTTTGGCTGCGACCCTCGGCGGGATTCACTCATCATTTTCCTCTGCGTCTGGCTTCAGCTTCTCCCTACCCAGTCACTATCAGCGAGAATGCCCACTGCCCGCCCCTACCCAGTGCCTGGGGGTTTCTGGGCAAAGGCCTAGAGATTGGGGGTAGAGGGGTGGCAGGTAGCCTAACAGGAATGGTGTGCAACGAGAACATTCGGGGTGGAGTCCTTTCCAACGTTATGTGAATTGTCAAAGGTGAGTTTGAAGGGGTCATAGGTGTACACACAAAACGCTGGGACACATGTGCTCTCAAACTCGGATATATGTGCACCTGTGGGCCAGCCAGCCGCCTGCACATCCCACACACTGTGCACCTTGCACCCATGCGGTCATACACATACTCACATGTGATGTACACATGGTCACCGCCACGCAAGCCCTGATGTGTATCTCTCTCACACAAGTGCATACAGTCATCCATGAACACACAGGCACATCACATGCACTCAGACGCACCCCTATAGTATATCCTTCACTAGAATCTAGGAGGACTCCATTACTGTTATTGCCAAGGGCTCCCAGGAAGGACTGCGATCTGTTAGCTGAAGGCTGCTCCACAGTAGGTGCTCAAGGCAGGTCTGTAAAGGGAATAACGGAAAGGTGGTTGAATGCGCTTGGGGCCCTGTGCCCATCCATAATGGATTTTGCAGGTGACCCCAGGGCCACACGCACTATGCCCTAGAAACCTTGGTAGGTGCAAAGCACACTCACTTGACATCTGGGAGTGTGCTTCAGGTCTGTTGGTGGAAAGCACTCCCACCCCCAAGGGGCTGCTCACCCTCTGCCGGTCCTCACCCTTTCCTGCTTCTCAGGCATGAAGGCCCTGCAGCACAGAGCTGTGGAGGGCAAGTCTACTCAGCCCATCCCTGCACCCTGATCTTGGCCATATGCAGAATTCAGTTTTGAGGTCTACTGAAAAAAATAGTACCATACTCCCACATTACAGGAAGAAGGGGGAGATCAAGAGCGTTTGGGAAGAGGGCATGCTGGCAGGTTGGTATGTGACTTCCTAGGTCAGCTGACGCTAATTCTTTCTTTTGTGGGGGTAAAACATCTGTCCTATGAATTTCTTTCCTGTGTAACCAACAAAGTCCCAGGTGACAGCCAGCCATGAAAGGACAGATCGACATCCCTGTGACTTGGAGCATGACCGGGAATGAGCCACCACCCCCTTGGCTGGGCATGAGAGGCCAGGCTGCAGGTCCCGCTTCAGAAATCCCCAAGGATCCCTCCTCCCCAACAGGGACCATCTCTCAGCTGTCTCTGCCCACTGTTTTATAGCCCTTTTTTTCCTCACTGCCCAATTCGTGGAAGGCAGGAAGGGGTGACATTAGTACTAACGGCAGCATTCAGCTGCTGCTTACTACCTAGGGTATCGACAGTGTGGCATTAATTTAAATACTGCTGTTACTAATTTATGATCCCGGTTACTATTATTGCCAAGGTTATCCATCTCAACACAATTTAATATGACCCACGCTACCATGGCTGGGCCTGGCTTATTAATAATTTCCATGGTCTTGATCATTTAAGCCTTACTCCAACAATTACAAACAGCAATTGTTACTATTATTAGCAGTATTTCTCTGATGAAGCCCTAGCACGAGACCACGATGTAATGCTGAGTGTGGGCGGGGAGAGGGGCTGCCCACAGCCTGGGAGAAGGAACACTGAAAGGAGAGCCCAGGAGGCTGGCTCTAAGGGCCCACGCCTCCCGCCCACGTGACCCGCTCCAGTGTCCCCCTAGGTGGGTTGCAGCATCCCTGGCCGCCTCAGTTTCCTCATCTATAAAATGGGAATTGAAAAACAATTCCATCTGGCACAGGCATGGCGACGAACATAGTGGAGAGTGTGGTGTAGCAGCTCATGGGCATGTGTTCGACGAGCACATACTGTTGCATCCTCGGTTCTAGCTGCCAGGGACGCCCAGTGAACAAGCGCTGCTGCTCTCACGGGGCGGATGTTCTAGTGAGTTAGTGATTCTGTGTGAAGGATTCTGCTGATGGGCCTGGCCCTTGGCCATAGCTGTGATCAGGGAGACTGCCATCCCATCACTGCCACCTATGCCAACCGCAATACCGTCAGCATCACTGCCAGGACCCCCCACTACCACTGCCATCGCTCCCACACTCGGCCCGTCAAGATTATCACTCCAGTGTCCACAGCTGCCCTGCTCCGTGGACACTGGCTAGAGCAGCGGGCAGCTGTGCTCCTAATGAGTGCTGGGTACTTGGCTTGGTCCTGATTCTTCCGAACATTATCAGAAGCCCACTGGAGCCACTGCCTGCGTGGGCACAGCCCCTCGCCTTCCTGTCCATGTCTTCTGGCCACAACTATGAGTGCCCCTCAGAAACCTCCCTCTGGCCAACAGAGTCCCCTCTCCCTGATGCTCGCACTGCAGGCGCAGTTGCGAGCTGGTGTGGGAGAGGCCCGAGCAGCTGACCTGCGGGGGTAGACGGGGGGCATCAAGAGGGCAGCAGTCTTCACTGGAGGTTGCCCCAGGACCAGTGCCCGTAGGAGAAATCATTACAGTTCTACAGTGGGAGTTGGGGGGTGCAGTCGGACTGCATCTTTGGGAATCCACATGGCAGGGGCTTGCCCCTCCCCGGTTGGCCTCATCACCCCCACTCAACCCCCGCCCTCCAGCAAGGCAGGACCCCCACATCCCATTCAGACCCCTCAATGCCAGCCCCTCTGCCGCTGAGCCCGGCAGCCCTGCCTGGAGTCCCTGCAGCCCCGAACCCAGTTCAGCGTGGAAGTAGGGGAGCAGACAATCAGAGCTCAGGTTTACTGAGTCATTAGGGACCGACCGAGAGAGCCAAGCAATTATTTCTTTAGTCCCATGAAGGATTTTATAGTGAAGAACCTGAGGCGTGGAGAGGTTGAGCCACTTGCCCAAGGCCCCCGGAGGAGGGCACTGTGTGTGGTTACTGCCTCATACAGGGCGGTCCAGTCACAGTCTTGCCATTGACCCCCGTGGACGGCCACCCCAGGCTTCCCCACATTGAGGGGAGATAGATCCTGCAGGTTGAAGGGGCTGTGCCCCGCATTCAGGTCCCCTCCTGACATGCATTTGCAGAGCCCAGGCTGGAGGGCCGGCAGGTGGGTGTGTGGAGGCAGGTCAGCAGATCTTGGCCTTTTGAGCTGACGTGATTTCCACGCTCCTTTAGTGCGCCCTCCCTTTCCCGCTTGAGAAGGAATCACCTCTCCTATCTTCCAGTTCCAGGGTCCAGCCAGGGAAGGGGTGGAAGAGATGGGCAAGGAGACAACAAATTCAGCAGGGAAGGTGGGGAGAAGGTAACAGGCTCCCCCAGCTGCATCCCATCTGCCCCGGGCATGCAGCCAGGCTTCAAGGTAAGTGAAACCCGCTGCCCCCCATTAGGGGCTGGCTTGGTGGCTTTGAAGCATGATGCAGTGATTACCTCGGAGCTGCCTCCTTCTGGGCTGCAAGTGGGGCCTGTCCAGTGGGGTGCAGCGTGGGGCCTGGGGCTGGTTTGGGGTCAGAGTGGTTTGGCTGTGGAGCTGCATTAGTAGTGAGAGGGGTGGGAGGAACTCATCAGTTTGGGAGTCCAGTTAGATTAACTGGAGCGTTAAAGTGGGCCAGCCCCACAGCGCCTTCCCGGCTGCTGCTCCAGCCTCAGAGGCTGTGCCCCCTCTGCCCTCCCCACCGCTGCCAGGGGCCCGTCTGACCCACATTCTTCCACATTCCCACTTGGGAGTCTGTGGTGGGTCAGGCACCCATGGGAGTTGACTTTCCTTTCTCTGGTGTAAGGGCAGCGTTGGCTAAAGGCTTTCTTCCTGCCGCCCGGGCCCTTCCCAGGCACCCTCCCTCTTGTCCAGGCCTCAGACGATTTTAATGATTCGTGCAGATGTGCCTGGGAAGGGCCCAGACTTGGCGTCTTGGAGGAGGGCAATGCCCAGGCAGTGCTAGAGTGGAGACACCAGGTCTCCAGGGCACGGAGGGAGCCCGGCTGGCCTCCTGGAGGACTCTGGGGCCAGCCTCTAGCCCAGCCTCTGCCCGTTCCCTGTGGCACTCGGGCCCTCAGCAGCCTTCCTCTGGAAAGTTCCTCCTGACATTCAGCTCTGCCCTTCCCAGGATGGCGGAGCTGCACTGCAGTTTGAAGGACTTGATCCTATCTCCCAATTTTTATCCGCATCCAAGGACAACCAAGACATTTATTTTTGTTTATTTTATTGTGATTTATATGTCATATCTATTTTTATATCATTCTTCCTTTTTGCACAGTGTTTGCTCTCTGCTGTCAGGTGTAATGGGGTAAAACCCCCACCCCCAGGTCACCAAGCACCATCACCCTCGTGGCCTGTGCTCTTCCCTCCCGTTTTGATCCTTCTCCCCCTCCCTCTCCACAGCGTCTGTGATTAACAGTCACCTATTTGTTTTGTCTTTTAATTTTTACAATTATTTTTTTCCTGATCTTTTATTTCAATCCAGACATTTTAAAGAAAAACTGAGTAGGGCAGCACCATTTGAGAC